AGACCAAGACAAAGTCGAGACGAGACAAAAAAGTCTTTAAACTGCAGCCAGATGCTGCTTCGTTTACGGGTGTCAGGCATATTTATGTGTTTTTGCGATGCACTCGCACAGCCCTCTTCACCGCTGTCTACTGTCTCACTCACTTACTGAGCTCACACTCCACTTGACCTCTTTCACACTCTCTGTTTTTCACATAATGATATTATCCTATATCCTCGCATGTGATTGGCCACAATATGGAAGGATTGGAGCACAGCTGAGCCACTGTGTGAGAGCTGAGCAGCGACAGGAAATTAAGTGAGGAGCCGGCTCTCGCTCAATGGGAGTCGACTCTTCTGATTCACTACAAAGCACTCTCTAAGCACGGCTCTTAGAGCTGATGCTTTTGCGCATGACACATTATCGAACGTTACGTTGTGTGTCATGGATACTGTTGACTCCAAATCTCCCTACTACTATGTTGATCTGAGACAGCAAGACCGAGACAGCGAGACCAAGACAAGACCGAGGGATCCAAGACCAAGACAAGACCAAGACCAAAGTCAGTCGAGACCAAGGCAAGACCAAGACCAAAGTCAGTCGAGACCAAGACAAGACCAAGACCAAAGTCAGTCGAGACCAAGGCAAGACCAAGACCTCGTGAAAGTGGTCTCGAGACATCCAACTCTACTCGCAGTAATGATGAAATTTGAAAAAGTGCAACACAAACCAGAAATGGAGTTTCATTTATATTAAAAGTTTAATAATTTACCTACTTATCGCTAAGTCCTTTTACTTTGAAGGCAAAAAGTCAGCCTTTTTCACTGAATCACTACTTCATGGTGAGCAGTTAGCATCCTCCTTACGAACTATGACAAGGGTCATCTGCCAAAACAGTCAGAAGTAGGTGTTTCAGTGCAGCCCTGCCACCTCTTTGTGACCAATTTCACCTTGACAGCCAGCAACCACTTGCCAACTGGTTGGGGAAGACATATTTTTCCCTGGTGACTCATGGTTGCCAGAGGATCGCAGACTAGTTTCTAGGCCTGTGGTACTGGGCTAATAGAAAGATGGGAATTTTCCTGCAGAGTGAAACTACCTTAGG